GAATTACTAATATGTATATCAAATGTATTGAGTCTATGGCACGGAATGACATTTATTGGTATAATTGTAGATCTATTTCATTATATTGGTCTATATTCACAAAATGTTCAATTTTACATTAAATTAAAATTATATATTAATCAAATTTATAAAAACTTAATAATATTTATTCGTAAAAATATTTCAATCAAATCAAACATAAAACCTAAAGTATGAGTATATTTATAATTATATATTTATAAATAATTAATTTTGGTTTATCTCTTTTTAGGACTTATTAACAGTTATAATGACTGCTCTACTCATACAACAACTCTACTCAATATCCGCACAATATTTTAATATTACCTCAACTATCAAAATTGATTTAAGAGATAACCACCTTGATCATAATTATCCAGTTATTTCAATTATATTACGAAAAACTTCTAATAATGGTATGGAAATGGCATTGAATGGTTTCATAGAACAATGCCCACCGGGCACAGTCTTGAACTGCACTTTTAACATAACAAATGATAAATTATTTTCAAAGGATATTAATAATAAAGTTTTCAAAAATTATTATATTATTGGAAAAAACAACTTAAATATAAGTGACGTTAAATCTCTTGACAGTTATGGCAATGAAGTAGATACATTTTTTTCAATTGTTGGTTTGGAGTTTCATCAAGTAAAAAGTTTATTTATTAACGACTCCATTGTGAGAAGTAATAGTAATAATGGATTCCTTGAGATACAGAATCTGGTCAATGGTTTGGGAATCGATAACATTGTGTTTGATTCTCAACCCATACCTCATTTGGACAATCATTTAAATAAAAAATTAAGATTAATTGGTTTCAATCAAACAATATTATTAACAAAAATTTTAAAATCATATTTACNTGGGAACAGTAGGCACCCATTTAATGCCATCTCACAAATACATTGTATTAAACGTTGTGTTCGTTATTATGTTAAAAAACATCTGAAATGTAATCCATTTTTTACCGATAATTTGTTACATGAATTAGATTTTGACACAAATTATATCGAAAATGTTTGTTATGAAAAATCGTATTTATTTTTAACAAATAATAACATCACAATCAATATAACCAATAAATGTGTCAAATATTGTCCTAAAGATTGTGTGACCGTTGAGTACAACTCACGAGTTGTCACAACTGATACACGAATTGGTAATGAGTTTTGGTTTCATTTAAGCGCTGATAGGATGTACTCAAAGAAGTCATTGGTTTGGGACTCAACTCAACCAATGTTTGTCTATCGAGAGGAACCGGTCTTGTCTTTCACGGATTATCTATCATATACGGGAGGATTACTTGGTCTATGGTTTGGTATAAATGGCAAAGACTTTGTAAACAAAGTAATTGAAAGTCGGATTTGGATCTTATTGCAAAACAATATTTATTATTTATTTTTTGTGATCAAAATCTTCTTAAAAGATATTTTTATTAAATTTCATAATTGGATACTAAAATCCATACAATATATTGTTCTCTTAGTAATACTAATATTTGAATTTTGTATTCAATATATTGTTTTAATTTATTATCAAATATTTTATTGTTAATATAAATTTACCTGCATATTAAAAAAAATTAATTACTTTTATTTGTTGTTTGCTTATTTTTTATAAAATTAATTACATTAACAACAAATGTCTCGTATTACCTGTTTATAATGTTTATGACACGTCCAGGTTAATTTATAGCTCCATAGTTTTTGGGCTACAGATATACCGTAGTATTAAAACTTAAATATTATTAGTTTAGAAATTTATTTATTATCCTACTCTTAATTACTGATAAAAGTAACGTTTTTTGCATTTTTCTTACGAGAATAGTAAACAATCAATAAATTAATTATAATAAAAAGGGTGATAAAAAGTGACAAGTAAACAAATTCCATAATTATGAATATCACGGAATAATCCTCAATATAATTTACCACAATAAACGGTGTGACCAGGGTCAATAATCCTTTGAGTAGCCTGAATGTGGCACTCAGTTTATTAGTGAATCCAATGTGTAGTTCAGTGAACGCCACGATCCCGTCCTACATGGCTCAACAGCCCAGACACGTGCAAATACTGGCCACCTATAGGCATACCATTGAATACCGGCCCGGAATCAATAATACTGTACCCGTAAACACAAGCATAATATGTGCGCTTAATATTGTTTTCAATTGAAACCTAAATTCAATAAAATAAGTTTTAATTATCAAAATATATTTTTTTCGTTGTATAGTATATTGTATTACTTGTATTACTGATAGAATATATTGATAACGAGTCCGGCCGAGTAGATGGCTATGGATGTCGAGTATATATTGGTTGCACTTTCAGCCGATAGTCTGAGCGGTGAGTACTGTCCAGTAAGTGACCCCAACTTCATGAACACCGCCTCATAAATGGCATACAAGGAGACGGTTAACGCAAATAAGAGTGCAATCCATGCGCGCGGGGTATCCTTCGCGTTGAATAACTCCAGAAAAGTCTACGACTTTATCATTATTATGATTATTATTGCCATCGTTTGTGGTTTGGTTTTCATGATTCACATCTCATTCTCGTCCTTCTCTTTTGGCATTTTGTATGGCTTTAGACAATACATTATGAACAGAGATATCGGGACTACGAATAAGCGAATATTATGTTAATAACTAGAGGCCGGAATGAGTGGAAGAGAGACACTGTTTTCAGATGACTTGGGTTTAGTATAACACATCTAACTTAATCGCTCTCTAACTTAATATCATATTAAAACTTTACACTATTAGGGATTATCACAAGGATTAGTGCATAGGTCTATTCACTCAGGCTATATTGAACCCAAATCGGTTTTAAAACAGTGTATTTTCTACGATTTTTCCACTGATTCCGGGCTCTATTAATAACTTTAATTTAAAATATAAATTGCAATCAAAAATATTAAAGGAAATTATAATAATATTTTGATAATCTCTTACTGATTATAATACAGGCGCCGATCAGGAATATGGGAAACATGAGTCGCGATCGCCTATCAATGACATCGTTTTCATTAATCCTTAACTCGTTGTCAAAAACCATTGTCTCGTTTTTGAACTCATTGTCCACTTCGCCCACGAGGTATGGTTTCAATGCTTGAGTGTAGAGTACGGAACCGATACCAAAGGACACCGAATGGATCGTACGATCGGCAACTTAATGCCCGACACAGTCCACAGCTCTATTGTCCATACATTTACAGCACAACCATATATACTTGAACTGATCCCGATGCAAAATGCACACAAGTATAACACCCATAGGTGCGGGGAAAGGGGTATTACTGCCGATGAAACGGTTAATAATACGAAAAACGATGCAAACATTAACTGTCTGTTTATGTATTTAAATAATAGCGCAACTGTTATGAAAAAATCATTAATCATGTTATTAATAAATTAAAATATTTTATGATAATTCTTACCGAAAGTTCCCAGAATATAACCACTGGTTTCAAATGTGGTGAACAGTGACACCCATTTCATAGTAGTGTTGAGTATGTATTTCATGTCAACCATAATCGGTGAGTATACGGAATATACCATAAAAGTTTTAAATGCAAGAAAAGTTTAGTAAAACATATAGAAATTTATGGCATTATAAAAGGTGTCAAATGTTCGGTCACTTACTGTGGGTCCACATCGAGTGATATGAAAGCACTCATTGAACACATGGAAAGGGATCACAAAATTGATAACATATTTGAATGCAGTTATGAATCTTGTAGTCAACCACCGTTTGGCACCGAATGGGAACTCGAATATCACATGAATTCAAAACACTTAAAAGTATTTAAATGTCAAGCAATTGGTTGCGGACAACAGTTTAAGACAGAGATAGCACTGACAGCACACGGGAACCGATACCACGGAAGGAAGTGTATCGCATATGTGGTCGAGGGGTGCGATTACATGGCTGACAGAATGGGACAAATGATAAATGACATTAAAATCCATAGCGATGTCAAAGCCTATCCCTGTCCACACGAGTCATGTGGTAAACGGTATATAAACAACACTTCACTCATTCAACACATTCAGTCCGTTCACTCCAATGAAAGACTATTTGTTTGCGATCACAACGACTGCGGCAAACGGTTCGCAACGAATACTAGACTATCGCAGCATAAGTCGCGTATACATCCAAAAAGTGGACATCTCTTGCGGATATCAATGCTGAGGGATTACTAATCCTTAAGATTCAAATTGATAAATATAATTCAACAATGATAAGAAATTAATTTTCAGCATTGATATTCACAAGTTTGTTTACTTTAAGTATTAACACAATACAGTCTCACCCGGTCCACTGTATTTACACAAAAATTGATAACTTAAATACTGACCATAGTTAATGGACATTAAACTAGAAAGTAGTCAAAAGCTAAGCGCCAAATATAAATTCACTATCAAGTTACAGCGAACGAGGTTATATAAATTTAAAATATGATTTATTTAATATCTCATGTATTTGACGAGTATTTTAATGAATGTTTTTTGAGTTCACATTTGCGGACAAACCGTTTGTCACAACCGGACCAATTGCATGGAAACCAATCCACGTTACCAGCGGTAATGAGAAACAAATAGTGAATTAAATGTGAAATACAAACACATTTTAAACACAATTGAATTCAAAGTGATTTTTAATTGAGTTTAAGATCAGATTAGTTGTGAAAATGTGTGAAATACTTATCAATGATTTGGTGGAAGAGTTGAGTGAAGAAAATAAGAGACTTTTAAATGAGTTATCATTTGAGAGACAATTGAATGAAATGAATCTTTTAAACGCTTTTATAAGTAACCTAAACTTTTGGTTAAGTTTTTGTGATCAAAATAAACAGACTTTTGATTTGTTGGATCAGTTGGACACCCGTTACAAGACATTCACTCAACGCATACAAAGTCAGAAAACAATGGATGAGAAGTCATTGTCTCCTAAGAGTCATAGCATTGGAAGCGATACACAGATGAAGACAACTGAAGACAATACTGAAAAGATATCCAATAATAAGGAAGTGATTGGAAACCAAAGGCAAAGAACCTCTCAATTGGTTCTCCCATTCGCTGTACTGAAGTCTATGGCATGTAATCCACAATTGGATCAATTGAATGACAAAAACGTATTCATATCTCTTGTGGTGTATAACTGTCTGCACAATGACTGTGACAAAGGGTTTGTGAGTAAAGACTCGTTGGATATCCACTCAAAGACACATTCGTCTGAAGCGAACAATAGTCAGGCAATGAGTGGTAAACAACTGGATTTGAATGAAACGATTGATTCATCGAAAACTGATTGTCAGTACAAATGTCTGTTGAAATGCAGTGACATATCCCGTGATAAACGCGGTCTCTATGAACACATGAAAAAGCGTTCATAACGTCGAAGAACTCATTGAATGCACTGATAAGTCATGTAATGAGACATTTTTTTCATGGAATATGTACCGGGAACATTCCTACGATAAACATGTGGACAAACTATCCAACAATAACTCACTTAAATGCCCTTTCGTTGGCTGCGGAAAAGTTTTGGGATCACTAACTAGTCTTAGGAAACATCGATTCACTCATTTGCCGGACAATCCAATGAAATGTGTGGTCAATGGATGTGACTATTCGTGTCTATTTGAGTCCCGAATGAACGAACATATGGTTAAACACAATGGCGTTAAAGCCTATCAGTCCACAAGAATTTGGTGACAAAACAGATGAAGGAAATGAACGCGAAGTACAAGGCTTTGGAGACCAAACACAGGAAACTGGAGGTCAGACACAAAAAGACACAAACGCAAGGATCAGATGACTGCAATAGTGGCAACGAATCGGCGGACGAATTGCATACAATTGAGAGCAACGCGAGTCAAACTGAGCCCAAACTACCGGTCACTTTGGTTACTGAGTACGTGATGTTCGGCACCTGTAAGACAACCGCCAGGTCTTTGGTCTTTAGTATCGATGGCATCAAAACGGAAAACGTGTCGCCAAACAGCCCTCAATCCAAATTCAAATACCATATTATGATACCATTTATACAGATGCAACGCCTGTCCATATGCACCGACCCCTCACTACCACTCATATGCATTAAACCCTCAAAAGAGTCTAACGACAAGATCCAGGAGTGCCTGTACGTGGGGTCCACTTCACCCAATGGTTTTCGGTTTGACATCACTTCCGACGGTTTGTATCAATTGTTTGAAGAGTTTTTTTGGATAATTAATTGAATTGTCTTTTTGTGTCTCGAATCAGATGCGAGTCAACAGAATATAGTGATTGTATTGTCGCAGAGAATCCGCAATACATTTGCGACACTATTGACCGACAAATGCAAAGAAATGAGCCCTCGATGTGAGTGCAGTCTTATCGATGTCTTCGACGCCCAGGCATTGCTGAACCAAAGCATCGGCTTTCATGAGATAGGATTAATGTGTCTAACAATTGCTAAATAAATGTTTAAATTGTATTCTAGTATTACAAACGAATTGAAATTAATAAAATAAATGCTATAAAAACGAAGTAATAATTGTCTTCTAAACAAATGGTTTTTAATAAAAAAAAGAATAAAATTTTTGTATCCAAATCGATGTTATATTTTAATAATTAAAACTTAATTAAAATATAATATAATAGAAATGGCTAAATGTTGTCCAAAAAAAGTTGATTGAATCAGGCACATTTACGGTATTATATTGTAATAGTAAGGCTTATTCCTCATACCGGTAATTGAGTTTCAAATAATTTCCAAACTATTAAATATTTAAGATATTTGTTGTAAATATGTACAAATTTATTTCATACTTAATAGTTTGGTTTATTTCTAATAATTAAGTTTCTTATTAAATATCCCAAATAAATTACTCATAGATAATACCATTAAATAATACCAGTATTCAATAGTTTTACAACTTATTTAATCAATGATTAAAATATAAATTACATTACGAGTGGACTGTAGCGCTAACTGTGAGCACAAAATAGCACTGAAATCAATGTTTTTGTTTTCGTAAACAACAGTTAGTGTTTAATAATGGGTAGGAAAAAGAGTGAGCTACGTCAATTTATCACGAGCGTTCACCACAAAGATGTCTGCAAATTGTGTCACAAAGTATTGTCCAAAAACATCACATGGATTGGTGTACACTTCAGGAGACACTTCGATGTATTGCCCCCACAATTGGTCCACAAACTCAAGGGTCGGTAATCATTGCATACGTTTACGACCATATTAACTATAGATTATGGTAATAGAGTAGCGAAGGTCTCATGCTTGTTGTTGTGTTCTGTAGGTGTATAGCCACACGGCAGTTTCTGGGCTGTTGAACCCTATGCCATATGCATAGTGATTACGACGACTGTGGCCTCCAGTTTGGCACATTCAATGCGGCGGCCATTCATCGAAGTAGAATCCATAGCCAAATAGCACCGGGAGTTACAGTGAGGCAGACCTTGCACTGCCATTGGCCTCAATGCCAGTTCAGGACAATGTCTGCACAACACCTGACGCTACACACGAAGAATAATCATACGACACACGTGGAGACCAGTTGTCTGTTTAAGTCGACTAAAACCTATTCGACGAACAGGTCTTCGGCTAAAAGTGTGGATAATTCAGTGATAGTGAAGCGAGAAGTGGTTGAACCGAATGTGTTGTGTTTGGAAGCGACAAACTCTTCATCGGATCCCGCGTTTCAATATCAAAGTCAACGCATTGTCAGAGCACTGACTCGTGTTAAGAGTGAACCTCAAGATAGTTGTGATTAGGCTTCGGGTTCATCGTTCACACCATAACACTGGCAACACGTCTAATGGCAACACAATTGTGGCAACAGTTGTCCCGTTACTCAATATATCTCGTAATAATCATTTAAATCCTTTTCATCCATTTCTCTGACCATTAAAAATAAGTTATTCAACAAACATCTCGAGTCTCGCAATAATTTTATCAAATCAATGGTTTAAATACTTTACAATTAGTATTAAAGTACTAACAAAACAAAACCAGTCACTCGACCACTCCATGCGCTCGTTTCCTGTGCTCTTTGAGCCAATACTTATGTTTAGTCGCAAACTGACAGCCCGTATAACCGCAGGGAACGAGTGGTCCCGAGTGTACGATCATATGCTGGCGAACATTATGTCTACTCTTAAACCGTTGGCCACATTCAGGCCAAACACATGCGTACGGTTTGTCTGCGCTATGGCTGGTTCTGTGCATTTTAAGCCTGTCTGACGTTCTGGTCCGGTAGTCACAGCCCGGCCACTCACACACGTACCGGCACTCAGGTGTGTGCATCTCCCGGACATGAGCTCTCAAAAACATGGGGTTATTGGTGCTGTGCGTACAGCCCGGCCACACGCACGCGTGCACCTGATCCAAGTGCTTGTATCGGTGCGACTTCAGACTGTCGGCGCACTTAAACGTGAGATCACATCCCGGTTCCGGACACCGGATACGCGCCCCACCAGTCGAGTGAGTGTTGTATTTGTGTTGATTTAAATAGCGTTTGAGTGGA